TGAGGCTGCATTAGCCAAGAAGGAGAATTTAATCCTTAACCCCTCTGTCGCTGCCCTAATGAAAATCTGCCGCTTGTTGTCTGCGTTGGGAACAAATCCCCATTAGTGCTCTCTGTGATGTGTGACAAATTTCCCTCACATCTGACAAGTGCATGTAGAAGCAGGCGATGATGACTCTTTGTTGTTCAAAACAGAACTCAGGTGACCCGGGCCAATGACTGAAAAAGATTTTGCCGCAGCATTCAGGCATTTTCTTTCTTTTATCTGTCACACCCTTTTCCCAATCCCCACCCCCATCTGAAATTACCATCTGTAAGCAGCAGCCACTTTCTCTTGCTGCATAAGAGCACCGGCCCCTAAAATTATGCCTTTCTTTCACGACAGAGTCGATACTGATTTCCACGGATGCTCACAACAACAACGCCAGCACCTGTGGATGATATCCGGCTAACGTCCGTTGTATCTATCTTTCGTGAAATCAACAAGACTTGAATTCAAGGCTAACTTGTGCAATTGGTTTAATCGGAACATGCCTGAATTTTAATCAATGATAGTGGCTAATCAATATGATGTCAGAATCAGCGGCCGCGTAGCTTGGACCACAAATTGCTAGACAGTCAATTTAAATACAGGGAGAGAACGACAGGAAGTAAGATGCTGGACCAGGCAGATACTATGTCCAGCGGTGGGATTCAAATAATTTAACAACCGGTTCACCCAGGGTCAGGTTGGCTGTCATGGGATGTGCGGCCCAACCTGACCCTGGATGAACCGGTTGTTAAATCCCCCACCCTGCTCCCGCTATCAAAGTGGTCCCTGGGCACTATACTGCAATGGAGAAATAGGTAACAGAGCAGCCAGCAGAGGGGAGGAGGAGGAGGAGCAGGGCGAAGAAAGAGGGAAAGCGGCCTTCTCCTTCTCTCATGCCGGCCACTCCATTTCTCCATTGCAGCGCAGCACCCAGGATCCACTTTGATAGCCGTGTGTGTGTGTGTGTAATTTAACAACCGGTTTGCTGAACCAGCTGAATCCCACCACTGCTTCAGAGGTGGGATTCAGCAGGTTCTGACCAGTTCTGGAGAACCGGTAGCGGAAATTTGGAGTAGTTCGGAGAACCAGCAAATACCACCTCTGACTGGCCCTGCCCTCATCTCTTTTCTGCCTCCCGAGTCCCAGCTGATTGGCTGGGTCTGCTTTGGTTGCCCTGCACAGGAGAATGGAGCTGGAAAGCAGGTTAGTGGGGTGGGGAGAGAATGGGATTTTGTAGTAACTTTCTCCCAGGAGTGGGGAAAGAATGGAGATTTTTCAGTCTCCTCCCGCTAGAATGGGCTGGGAGTGGAGAGTTTGCAATATCTTTCTCCTGCCACATCCACCAAGCCACAGAACGGTCGTAAAAAAAATTGAACCCCATCACTGCACTAGTTATTTCTGCTTTGCAGGCTACTGTGAACGGATTGAGGGTACATTTGTGTATCGGACTTGATTTTGCAAGTCTGCATCATAATAGCAAAGGAAATATTCCTAAGCATATAGAGGTAGTCCTCAACTTACAACAGGGGTGGGATGCTACCGGTTCTGCCTGACTGTACAGAACCAGTAGCTATGAAGAGCAGCAGACACAGAACTGGTTCTGTGTCTGCTGCTGTTTGGCCCACCTGCCTGCCCGGGCTCTTACCTGACTTTTATTTCCTGGTTTTTCAACTTCAGCTGCTTTGCGAGGCACAGCTGAGGTTGAAAAAGCAGTAAAAAAGTGCTTTTTCAAACACTGCGCACCCATGCACAGCACTTTTCAGCTGTCCGAGCGGCACAGCTTATGGTGTAGTACGTGCAGATGCGCGCGCAAAACGTAACTACCGAACCGGTAGTAATGCCGGTTGAATCCCATCCCTGACTTACAACAGTCCATTTGGTGACTGTTCAAAGTTATGATGGCACTGAAAGAAGTGACTTATGACCGTTTTTCACTTGCATGACTGTTGCAGCATGCCCATGGTCATGTGATCAAAATTTGGATGTTTGGCAAGTAATTCATATTTATGACGGTTGCAGTGTCCCAGGGTCATGTGGACAACTTTTGCAACTTTCTGATAAGCAAAATCAATGGGGAAGCCAGATTCACTCAGCAACAGTGTTACTAACTTAACTACTGCAGCGATTCACTTAACAGCTGTGGCAAGAAAGGTCGTAAAATGGGGCAAAATTCATTTAACAAATGTTTCATTTAGCAACAGAAATTATGGGCTCAACTGTGGTCGGAGACTACCTGTACTACCACCTGAAGCAGAGTTAGAGCAGGTCCGGCTGCAGTTGATCAATCCCATTCCTTGATCAGGTCTAGGACAATTTTCCATGGCTAACTCACCATGGCTTATTCGCCACAGCCAACTTGCCATGGGACAACCCAGCCATAGCAGTTACAATAATATCAAAGAAATGGTGGGATAGAATCATTAAAGAAAAGATGCAAAAGGAGGGATAAAATGAAATGTGAATGACAAACTTGAAAATAATTTTAAAATAATGTTGAATAATTAAACTGAATTGTTGAATTGTCCCGTGGCCAGTTGGCGCATGGCAAATAGACCATGGTGAGTTGTCTTGCAGTGAGCTGGCCGTGGCGAATTGACAGTGGTGAGTTGGTCATGGTGAATTGGCTGTCATGAGTTGTCCCATTCTGTTACCAATGAGTGAATGGAAAAAGGACTTGGAGACAGGGTCATTTCCAGAAATTTCATTGAGGTGTCTGCTGTTATTGCATCTAGCCCTTAAAAGACAGACAGACAGACAGACACACAGAGAGAGACAGAGACAGAGACAGAGAGACAGAGACAGACAGACAGACAGATGATGGACCTAGCCAACTGGTCTATCACACACAGAGGGAGAGTTTTATATTATACATAAAACATTCCACAAGTACAAAAATTAATATTAAAAGACTGGAGGAGAACATAAGATAATGTGAACAATGGAGTCACCTCATTGAATACCATTCCCTTGCGATCCCCAAACCTGTTGACATAAGGTTTTAAAAGACTTCTGGGAGGTTGGCAGAGATGAAGCCAATCTCATCTAGAGGGGGTGATGTCCCACAGGACAGGTGCCACAGCAGAAAAGGGCTGTCTCCTGGGTTCCACCAGATGTGACTCCTTAGCAGATGGGACCCATAACATACGTCTTCTGCCAGACCTGATGACATGGGTAGGTGTAATTGGGGAGAGGAAGTCCATCTAATACTAACATTATGATGAAAGTGGAGGCCAATCCATGGCTTCTTATGTTGTCTCTCCCTTCAAGGCCAGGAATTTTTTCCATCTTGAAAAAGACAGTCCAGCTTATAAAAAAGTGAGAGCGGGGATCCTATGTCTGGCTTTGAACTAATCAATTCTACGGCTTTGTCACAGAGTAGTTCCATTGTGAAGCGAAAGAGAGAGTGTGTCTCTATTGGAAATGACATAAAATACGCAGAGAAAAGTGTAGAATTAACCCATTCTTGCTAGGCTGTGCCTGGCAAAAAAAAAAAATTCTCAATGCAGTCATAGGACAGAACATTTAATAACTATGTACTTTTGCTTGTGCATTTGTAAATCTGTATAATTGATGTGACTGTGTATTTTCAGTTCAGCAAAGGTACAACTTGCATAGAGTTTTTGTGAAAGAAAAACAAGCATGATAAGGAAAAGCTGAATCTCCTGCCGAACACGTGAGAAGAAAGAACATCATAAAGGTGTCTGAGAACAGACAAGATTGCTAGATTTTTGTCTGTTGACCTCATGCTGATAGCAGCTCTTTTCAGTCTTCTTATCATTCTGTAAATTGAAGATACCAGGACATGATGCAAGCAAAAGAATTTTTTTTTTTTACATACAGCCACAGTCCAGCCAATGAGTCACTACCCTGAACCTGTAAATGGTTTTCTGCACTGAAATAACCACAGTGCTTACATAGTGAGTTTGCATCTTCAGTGGGTGCAATGTATCCCTTAGTGACAAAGGGGCTGATGTGGGAAGGCCTGGTACAGATGGTCCCATGGTTTTACCAAATATTTTTAAACAAATTAGTCTCAGGCTTTCATTTGCAGTGTAAAAAAAGATAGAGAAGATATGCTAAACAATCCAAAGCACTATGCAGCAGCTTTATAACTTTTACAGGGATGTGCAGTTGGGCATGCAAATGTTACATATCAACTTTTCGTGTTCTATATATCTATATCTATATATCTATATATTTCTATCTCTATCTATCTATCTATCTATCTATCTATCTATCTATCTATCTATCT